GAACGATAGCTACACGAAATAATGTAACCAAACAACAGCAGAGAACGATTTTGACTATTGTATGCAACGTGCGCTGCCTTTTGATGCGTATGCATTTGTGACGGGCATCCAACCTAGGCAAATCTGGAAGGCTCCAGCACCATCTAGAAGCTAGCCAGAGTTGGGAACTTTCAGTCCCCTCCGGACCAGCCGGTGGAACTTTCAGTCCACTCCAGACCAGAGCCTTCTGGGATCATCGAGAAGGCGTTTATCCTTGGTGCCTCTTTATAAGACGTCCTTAATCCACTGACTTCCTACCTTATCACCTATTCTTCATTCGTGATTTATCTTTGTCCTCCAGCTCCTTCCGAGTTAGTTGCTTTAGAAAGCTAAATCGTCAATCCTGAGATCGTCAGCTACACATTTAAAGCGCAAGCGAACGCGTCGCCATCGCTACCACACCTATTCCGTCATCGTTAGTTACGGTTTTTTTTTTCCCGCTCCAGAACCATGCACACCTTCGAGGACGGAAGTGAAGAGGTCGAGGTTCGAATCCCGCTGCCAGCAGAAATCAAGGCTTCAGATGTTGCAAAGCGCTTGTCCATTGACATACAGGCGAGCTCCGTCAAGGTGTGTTACCGCTCTGTACCCATCCATTTACCTACATTGCCCTCTTTGTACCCTTCTCACCTGGATTGCACCGTCTGGCACTCCTTGATACTCCTGAATCCATCTCTACACATCTCTCCTTGCCTTTCTCTTCATGTACCCTCCGCGATAAACGTTTACCCGAGACCCGTTCGTCATTATCTACTGGCTGCCGTAGTGGCTAGTCGCACGCCTTTCTCATAAGCTTATAACCAATCTCCCTTGCTGCATTCAACCACTGCATTGTGTCACATTCTACGTGGTAGTATTACGGGCCGGTTGTCTTTCGACATTGTCACGTAATCGAAAATTTCCCTCCACAACTTAGTCACGCTTATCCCCTGCTTGCCAGGTGGCATGGAAGGAAGGCGCCGCCGCCCCACTGTTGAACGCTCCTGATCTGTACGAGAAGATCCGACCGTCCGATTCAGCCTGGTACATCGACGGCTCCACACTCGTCCTGACTCTGACGAAGCAGCACCCGCAGAAATGGCCCGCCCTAACCGACACCGAAGCCTTGGAAAAGAGGTTCGGACCCATCCGAACCTCCCCGAACAAGGCTGCAGGTTCGTCAGCAGCATCAGCTTCGGCAGCAGCCGCGGGGAATGGAACTGCCAAAGCAGGCGCGGAGCAGGCAGGGGCGGGGGGAGGGGCGAAGGGGGGAACGGGAAAGGCGGAGGGGAAGGGTGGGGATGGGGCAGGTGAAAAGAAGGACGGGGCGGCAGCTTGGGCTGCCCGGGAAAAAGTCAACCGGCTGCTGAAAGCTGCCCAAGACGGTGACGTGGATGGGCTGAAACAAGCCGTTGCTGTGATGATTGCGGATGGGAAAGCGCAGGAGAAAGCGGAGGGGAAGGCGGAAGGGGAGGGGGAGGGGAAGGCGGAGGGGAAGGTAAAGGGGAAGAAGGGGGGAGTGGAAATGCTTTCAGAGTTTGATGTAGATGAGAAGCTCAGTAGTGATACTGCAGCTGCTGCCGCCGCGTCTGCTGGTGGTGGTGATGGTGGTGCGGGTGACAGTAACGAGGGGAAGCTTGCAGTAGAGGAAGCAAGGGAGGTGCTGGAGGAGGTGAGGGACGCCAATGACCGCACGGCCCTGCACTTTGCAGCCAGCACGGGGCATGTCGACGCGTGCAGGTATGTGGCTGGGTTAAGGAGGTGAGTTTTGGGTCGACTTTAAAGTGGAGGAAGCGAGGGAGGTTCTGAAGAAGGTGAGGGAAGCCATTGGCCGCACAGCCCTGCACTTTGCAGCGAGCAAGGACCACGTGGACGCGTGCAGGTACGTGACTGAGAGGTGACATTTGGATAGACTGTAAAGTCGAGGAAACGAGGGAACTGGGGGACGCGAACGGCCGCACGGCCCTGCACTTTGCAGCGAGCAAGGGCCACGTGGATGCGTGCAGGTACGTGATTGTTGATCGATGGGCGTTTCTGTTGGTGTTCTTTTGTGTGTGTGTGTGTGTGTGTGTGTTTGTGTGTGTGTGTGCGTGCGTGTGCGTGTGTGCGTGTGTGTTTTGTTGCGTGTTGTTTTTTTTCTTTCAAATTAGGCACCTACCCATAGGAGTATTTTCAGCATGTGCAGGTACATGGTGGATGAAATAGGCGTGCCAGTGGACGTGAAGGATGGCGAGGGGGAGTCAGGGGAGCTGAGTGCATGCGTGTGATTTGTTTCTTTCACTCTGAGTATGTGTGTGTGTATATATCAAACGACGCATGCAGGTACATGGTGGATGAAATAGGCGTTTCAGTGGATGTGAAGGATGACGAGGGGGAGATGCGGGAGATCCATGCGTGTGTTGTGCTGTTTTCTGAACCATTGAGTATGTGTATGTGTATGTGTATGTGTATGTGCATATCTCAATGCCTGCAGGTACATGGTGGAGGAGATAGGCGTGCCGGTGGATGTGAAGGATGACGAGGGGGAGACGCCACTCATGCTGGCAGCGAGGGACGACCACTCAGAGGCTGCCACGTGGCTGGTTGAGCACGGGGCGGCTGTTGCCACGTCAGCGGAGAAGTCGGGCGCGCAGGCGATACATCACGCAGCGGGGCATGGTGGGTTGAAAACCAACTCTTGTAGTCACATCCTTTAGAAGCACAGGCAAATAAAAAGCTTCATAAGTTATTGATATTCATGTTTTGTATTTTTCTTTTCTTTTGCTTCTTCATGCGTGATGATAGTCCTTGCTCTGACTGGCCAACAATGCCGACTCGAATGCTCTCGGACAACCTCATAATCCCTCACAGGTTCGGTGAAGATTCTCGAACTCCTATTGGACCACGGCGCCGACCCTAACGCTCAGAGCGACGCCGGGCCTCCGCTGCTGTGGGCGTGCGGACACGGCAAGGTGGCTGCAGCGGGTGTGCTTCTAACGAGGGGAGCCAATCCAGACACGCCCAGCGAGGATGGCGTGAACTCGCTGCTCACCGCCACTGCTGCCGGGGAGACAGAGATTGTGAAACTGCTGCTCAAGGTACGTACAGGGCATTTTGTTCAGGGTTTGAGGTTCAGGGTTTGAGGTTCAGGGTTTGAGGTTCAGGGTTTGAGGTTCAGGGTTTGAGGTTTAGGGTTTGAGGTTCAGGGTTTGAGGTTTAGGGTTTGAGGTTCAGGGTTTGAGGTTCAGGGTTTGAGGTTCAGGGTTTGAGGTTGGGTTTGTCGTTCAGGGTTTGACGTTGGGTTTGACGTTCAGGGTTCATGTACGCAGTTTGAGGTGCACGGTGTTTCAAAGTCAGTCCCCTGATCCCTTCCCCCATCACCACAGCACAGGGCCCAGCCCAACCCAGGCGCCTCCACTCTTGCAGGGAGTTTTTGAGAATTCTCAAAAACGCCCAGCCCAACCCAGGCGCCCCCACTCTCCCCACCAACGCTGCTGCTGTAGCAGCTAGTAGTACCAATGGTGCTGCTGCTGCCCCATCCTCCCCTCTCCCCTGTGTGACCGACCAAAACCACGCCTCTCATCATTGCCCTCCTCATCCACGCCAGTGCCGACGCCAGCCTTCCTAACCTGCTTGATTGAATTCCTTACTCTCTGTTCCGTTCTCTCCCCCCCACCACAGCACGGGGCTCAGCCCAACCCTGGCGGCCCCCCTCTCCCCACCAACGCTGCTGCTGCTGCCGCCGCTGCCAATGGAACCACTGCTGCCCCGTCCTCCCCTCTCCCCTGTGTCACCTCCACCACGCCTCTCATTGTCGCTGCCGACGCGGGCAACACACCCGCCGTCTCCGCTCTCCTTGCCGCCGGTGCTGATGCCAACAGGCACGACGAGGATGGCATGACGGCACTAGACGCCGCCGCCGCTGCTGCTGCTCCTGCCAACCTTCCTAAACCCCTTGCTTCAACCCCCTTCTTCCTGTTTCGTTTCCTTCTCCCCTTTGCCACAGCACGGCGCGCAGCCCAACCCAGGCGGTCCGCCTCTCCCCACCAACGCTGCAGCAGCAGCAGCAGCAGCTGCTGCTGCTGCTGCTGCTGCCAATGGAAGCACTGCTGCCCCGTCCTCGCCTCTCCCCTGTGTCACCTCCACCACGCCTCTCATTGTCGCTGCCGACGCGGGCAACACACCCGCCGTCTCCGCTCTCCTTGCTGCCGGTGCTGATGCAGACAGGCGGGACGAGGATGGCATGACGGCACTAGACGCTGCTGCTGCTGCGGGGAATAAAGAGGTTGTCGGGTTGCTGCTGCCGGTGACTCAGCGTCCCGCTGACGTGGCGGAAGTCGATTGGACGGTCGATGGAGTGATGAAACGGGCGGCGGGAGCAGGAGGAGCAGGAGGGGGAGGAGCAGGAGGGGGAGGAGCAGGAGGGGGAGGAGCAGGAGGAGGGAAGAAGGGAGAGGCATCTGCAGGAGGAGGAGGGGGAGCGGGGGGGGTAGGGGCACCACCCCTTGGTTCTGCTCTGTCTTCGGATGTGGCTGCAGCAGTGGCCGAGGCCAAGGCAAGGGGAGACGCAGCGTTAAGATCACAGCAGTTCCAGGAGGCTGTTGATGCATACACTCAGGTGTGTGCGATTTTTTTTTGGGTGTGTGTGTGTGTGCTACAATGGTGCATGGATGGAGGGACGTGGCTGCAGCAGTGGCAGAGGCGAAGGCGAGAGCTGATGCTCCGTTCAGATCACAGCAGTTCCAAGAGGCTGATGATGCATACACTCAGGTGCGTGTGTTTGTGTGTGTGTGTGTGCGTGTGTGCGTGCGTGCGTGCGTGTGTGTGTGTGTGTTGTGAAAAGGAGAACGTGAATGGATGAACTATGAATGAAGTGAGTACATATAGGAAACCCTAATTGGGTTGTACCCCCTATGGGATACCCCACTATAGCCTACACAACAGCATAAGCTATATAATGTTCTGACACACCCCCATAGGCAAAGTGGGGGAGAACAAGGGGTCACAAGACCAGTCACGCAAAGCACAGCAAGCTCAGGGTGGATCACAAAGTCACCACACAGTCCGAGCACAACGACAAGGCCACAAGGCCAGTTCACATGCAGGAAGACACATATATATATAGAGCTAGACAAGCAAGAGCAGATATATATATGTGACAGTACAAGCAAGGTCAAGAGTAGAGCAAGTGAGGCAAGACAGGTACAAGACCCAACTGAGTGCAGAAGCGCTGATGGTCACAAGGCGCAAGTGCCTTGGTGAACACATCAGCAGTGTTGGCCTCAGAGGCCACGTACGCAAGTCGCAACTGACCACGCTGCTGCAGCTCACGAGCAAGAAAGTAACGGAGAGCAATGTGCTTCGTTCTGTGCTCCAAGCGCTGCTCTCGACACAAGGCCAGCATGGCCTTGTTGTCTACGTACAGCACTGGAGGAGAACGAGGCTGCTCTCCAAGGTCAGTCAGCAGGTAGGTGAGCCAGCGAAGCTCCTGTGCAGCCATGGCCCCGGCGTAGATCTCAGCCTCACAACTGGAGCCGAGAACAGAGGACGAGCGAGTAGCCCGCCACGAGACAGAGCCGGAACCAAGACTGAAGGTGTAACCCTGCGACGACCGCTGCGTAGCCTGGTCGTCAGCCCAAGAAGCGTCCGCGTGCCCAGTGAGGACCACTGGACTCCGCCCTCCAAGCACTAGCCCCATGCCCGACGTACTGCACAAGTAGCGCAACACCCTCTTCGCTGCAGCCATGTGCTCTGGTCGGTGTCTCCCAGGAGCAACATAGCGTGCAAGAATGCTAAGAGGGTATGCAAGGTCAGGTCGTGTGCAGGTCATCAGGTACATGAGGCAGCCAACAAGCTCTGGGTACGGGCCACTCGACTCTACGGACTCATCCGAAGGCAGAGCTGAGAGCGAGTGGCGAGTAGACAGAGGAGTGGCCTGAGGCGAGGAGTACGTGAAGCCGAAGCGCTGAAGGACCTGCTGCACCATGTGTGACTGAGTCAAGGTAATGGTGCGGCGTGCTCTGTCCCGAGTGATCTGCAAGCCAAGGTAGCTGCGCAGTTCACCCAGGTCTGTGCACGTGTGTCTCTTCTTCAGCTCGGACTTCACGTAGGCTAGTCCAGCAGTGTCAGCTGTGGCAAAGACCAAGTCGTCGACGTACACGAGGATGTAGAACGGCGGCAAAGAAGTGTCGGTGCGCAGAAACAACGACGGGTCAGCAGTAGAGGGAGCAAACCCAAGAGCCGCAAGCGTAGTCCTCAGTGTGTCGTGCCACTCACGCGGTGCCTGGCGGAGACCGTAGACTGGCCGTCGGAGGCTCCACTGGGTGCCAGGAGGGAAAGTCCCAGTGAAGCCAGGTGGACGGCGCAGCCAGATCTCCTCGTGCAGGCTACCCTGCAAGAAAGCAGTGCTGAAGTCAAGAGAGTGGAGCTCGTAGTCGCGCTGAGCGGCTATGTGCAGCAGCACCCGAAGAGTGGTCATCTTCGGGGTGGGAGAGAAGGTCTGAAAGTAGTCAACTCCCTGCCGCTGACTGAAGCCACGAGCGACGTACCGCGCCTTGAAGACAGGTGGAGAGCCCGGCGGCCGCTTCACCCTGAAGATCCACATGCCACTGACGATGTTCGCCCCAGGAGGGGGCACCGCGTCAACGTAGGTGCCTGTGGACTTCCAGGACGCCATCTCTGCATCCATAGCTGCCTGCCACTGAGAGGAGTAGGGACCCTCTACGGCCTCCGCGTAAGTGCGCGGAGTCGGGATGTCTAGTGCATCCGGGTCTCCCTCAGGGGCAAGTAGTACGGACGCGAGATGAGGTGAAGCAGCAGCCAGACACTGGAACTCCTCCTGCCTGTCCTCAAGGACGTCCGTGCCAAGAGCACACTCACCCCCGACGGACGGAGGACAGACAGACGCAGACTCAGCAACAAGACCGGCAGCGTAGTCTAGACGACAGCGAGCAGCAAAGTCGACGAGCTCAGCAACAAGCGCAGACGCAGCAGTGGACTCAAAAGAGGGGTCAGTGACGACAGTAGCAAGGAGACGTGTGACAGTAGGACTAGCAGCACGAAGAGAGTCGGACTCTGGGTCGGTAAGTGCAGGAAGGGAGGACTCAGGAGGAGAAGGCAAAGGGGCACGCAGAGGAGCAGTGGACGGACGCAAAGACATCCGGTGCGTGCCAGGGACAGGAGGAGGACGCTGACGCGAACCGCGACCACTAGCGCGAGCAGCACGAACAGGCGACGCAGGACGAGACGCAGGCTCACGACGCTCAGCAAGACCTCCAGTGGGACCAGTGTAAGGAGAGGGAGCAGGAAGTGGGGAGGCGGGCTCTAACTGGGACTGTGACTGAACAGGCGGTGGACACGCTGCAGGAGGAGAAAGACCAAGAACCTGCTGTAGGAGTGGAACGAAGTACGGCCGAGGCCGCGCGGCGACTCCAGACACAGCAGGGACAGCACCCTCAGCAGCAGCACCAGCGCCAACAGCACCTCCAGCGGCAGGACCTCCAGCAGCACCAGCAGCACCCGCAGCAGGACCACCGCCAGGAAGGACAGCAGCAGTCTCAGCACCAACACCCGCAGCAGCTCCAGCTCCAGGCGGACCCGAGGGCCCAGCAGCTCCGGGACCAGCGGCACAAGTACCCTCAGCAGCCGAAGGAGCTCCAGCTCTAGCAGTACGTCTCCAGCGGCGAGCAAACCACTCGCGCAGCTCCTGTGGAGAGAGGGGCTCCCGCCGAGGCGAAGCACCCGGAGAACCGCCAGGTCCCGCACCGCCAGACGCCACAAGGGGAGGTCCAGTGGCCGCAGGCTCCGCAGCTCCAGGCTCAGCAGCTCCAGACGCAGCACCCCCTGGCTCAGCACCCCCAGTCGCAGCACCCCCAGGCTCAGCACCCCCAGACTCCGCACCCCCAGGCTCAGCACCCCCAGTCGCAGTACCCCCAGGCTCAGCACCCCCAGACTCAGCACCCCCAGGCTCAGCACCCCCAGGCTCAGCACCCACGCGCGTAGCACCCCCAGAGTCAGCACCCCCAGGCTCAGCACCCGCAGCAGGACCAGAGTCACCAGCAACCTCGACCGGCTCGACTGCGTCTACCTGGGACACACCTGAAGGGGCAGGACCCTGAGGGGGAAGGGGGTCTACCGGGGGGGGACCTGGCACAAGGAAGTGCGGTGGCGGGGGGAGGGAAGGAGTGCGGTAGGGGAAGAGGCGGTAGAAGGGGACTGACTCGTCGAACGTGACGTCCTGGGAGGACAGAACACGACGAGAGGAGGGGTGGTAGAACTGCCACCCTGGGGCGTCAGGGGGGAAGCCGAGGAAGACACAGGGAGCAGCACGAGGGGACAGCTTGTCCGCAGACAAGTCGCGGACAAACGCCCGAGATCCCCAGACACGGAACGCAGACGCATCGCCGACCTTCCCCGTCCACAGCAGAGCTGGGGAGGTCTCCGGCCGGGAGACCCTGGGGTGAAGGTTGATCTAATGCGCCGCGTACCGAACCGCAAACGGCCACAGAAAATGGGGGGCAGCCGCATGCATCATGGACGTACGAGCGACGTCCATGACCATGCCAATGCGGCGCTCAGCAATCCCATTTTGCTGTGGAGAGTCCGGAAGCGTAACGGTCTGGCGGATGCCTCGTGCACGACAGTAGGCTCGCAGAAGGCCAGAGGAGAACTCTCCACCTCGGTCAGAGTGCAGACGCAGAACAGGAAAGTCCGAGCCGAAGCTCCTCCTGAGCTGGAGACGAGCTGCGCGGATCCAGTCGATCAACACCTCAGTGACATCACCCTTGCTGCGCAAGGGGAAGACTGTGGTGTAACGCGAGTAGTCGTCAACCACCAGCAGGAAGTAGCGCTCGTGACCCTGCCCACGGACGCGGGCCGGGCCCCACACGTCCATGTGAAGCGTCTGCAGAGGAGCCTCTGTCGGGGGAAACTGGGAGGAGTGAGGGGCAGCCCGGAGCCGCCCCTCGACACAGGGGACACAGGAAGGTCCGGGTCCCGAAGGAAGGGGAGGGAGAGACCGGGGAAGACCAGAGACAAGGACACGGGAAGCCATGCCCCGAAGACGAGGCAAGGAGGGGTGGCCAAGACGGTGGTGCCACAGGAGAGTCTCCTGAGACAGGCGGCGACACGAGCAGGGGGCAGACTCAGGACCAGACCTGGACGCAGCAGCAAACACCTGACCCGACGCAGCTACCTGGCCAGACGCAGGGACAGGAGGAGACTCAGTGGTCAGGGTGTAGAGACTCGACCCCGGCCGACGCGAAAACGTGGCCAGGTGTCGGCCTGTGCGGGCGTCCGAGCAGTGGGTCACCCGCTGACTCGCAGGAGTAAACTGGTGAACCCCCGCATCCTGCAGGTCAGCACCACTCACCAAGTTCGTCGAGAACGAGGGGAGGTACAGACCAGACAAGGTGCCTGAGGGGGCAGCCGGACACGGGAGGACAGTGGAGAAGTGAGAGAGGACAGGACCCCCAGAGGGGTCAGCCAGGGAGACTGCAACCGGCCGGCCAAGCGGCGTGAGTGTGGTGCGGTCTCGAAAGAAGGAGCGAGAAGCCCCTGAGTCAAGCGTGAAGGTGAGGGAGGCCGAAGCCGACGCAGTACCTGAGAGCGCAGCCTCACCAGTACCTGAGAGTGCAGACGCACTGGCACCTAGAGCAGCAGCCGCAGAAGTACCTAGCGCAGCAGTACCAATGCCCGGGTCGGGCGGGAAACACCGGTAACAGTCACCCTCCTCACTAATAGTCACAGCATACATGGCAGCAAGGATAGCATCAAAGTCAAGATCAAAGATAGCTACGCCAGCCCTAGACAGCTCTCCCCAACGGGGAATCTCACTAGCCTCGGGGAACTGCTGACGCCAAGCGTCCGTCAGGCGGCCAAAGCAGCGCTGGGTGGGGTGGGCACCCCCACACTGCTCACCCGCGCGGTCGCCGGAACGAAGGACGTAGGTGCACGGACCAAAACCCCCACCCCGCTGACGCTGCGTGTACCACTCACGGAGCTGCTGGGGCGGGGGGATGTCCCGCGAACGCTGCTGCTGCTGCTGCTGCTGACGCTGGCCACCACCAGAGCCGCTACGCTGCGGGGCACCACCCCGACCAGCTCCACCCCCTCCGCCACCGCCGCCTCCACCTCCACCACCACCGCTGCCTCCGCTCCCACCGCTGCCGCCACCACCGCCTCCTCCTCCGCTGCTGCCACCGCCACCACCGCCCCCGCCACCACTCCCACCGCCACCCCCACTCCCTCCGCCGCCTCCACCGCCACCTCCACCGCCCCCGCCAGTTCCACCCGCGCCCTTGCCCCCCTTGCCCCTGCCAGGGCGGCGTCTCCCGCTAGGGGCAGACGCCGCGCAGACCGACTCAAGACCAAGCAGGTCGGAAGCAGCAGCAGAGGCAACAGAGGGCAGCAGGGGGGAAGGAGAACACCCCTCAAAGATGGGGGTGCGAGGGTCACCACGAGAGGCTCCTACAGCGACGATGCTCTTCTCCGCCGCCAGGAGGGACTTCTCGAGGAGGTCGACAGTGAGAGTGGTGGGACAGACTGAGAGGAAGTGGTCCCTGACTACGCGAAGGGAGTCAGGGAGGCGTGTGACTATGTAATAGAGAGTGATGTACATGGGGGGGGGGTTCTTGGCGCAGAACTCAGCAGGAAGGGCGGCGCGGTAGCGAGTGTCACTAGTGCGGAGGTGCGTAATGAGGTCAGCGACAGTGGGAAAGGCAGCAAGGTCAGGAAAGAGGTACGGTAGCATGAGGCGGCTCAGGGCAGCAGTGGCAGGGGAAGAGTAGCGCGCAACTACAGCGTCGTACAAGGTCTGAGCACTCTTGTACTGACTAAAGTGCGCGCGCTCAGTGGTAGGCAGGTGGCGACGCACAGCAAGACGTGCAGCAGCATCGCGGGTGGCCCACTGAGAGCGAACAGTGGGGTCAGCATCAGCAGCAGGGGCAGGAGAGGCGCCAGAGGTGAGGTCAAAGAGGGAAAGACCGTCCGCCCTATCGCACTGTAAGAACAGCTGCAGGTCGTCGACCCAGACCTCAAAGTCAATGGCTCGACCCTCAGCGTCAAAAGCGAGGACACTAGGGGTAGCCATGACGACGACAGTGTAGTAGTGCAAGCAGTAGGGGAAGGGCACGCAGTAACAGTGGTGCTGTGCTCACCAGGCAGGGCAGGTCGGGCGGCTCGGCAGTAGGGCGGCCCGGCGGCTGGGCGGCTCGGCGGCTCGGCTGCTGGGCGGCTCGGCTCCCGGGCAGCTCGGCGGCAGGGCGGCTCGGCGGCAGGGCGGCTCGGCGGCAGGGCGGCTCGGCGGCTCGGCTCCCGGGCGGCTCGGCTCCCGGGCGGCTCGGCGGCAGGGCGGCTCGGCGGCAGGGCGGCTCGGCTCCCGGGCGGCTCGGCTGCTGGGCGGCTCGGCGGCAGGGCGGCTCGGCGGTCGTAGGCGGCGGGGCCGGTGAGGATAGGCGGCGGGGCCGGTACCGTAGGCGGCGGGGCCGCGAAGTGGGGCGGCGGGGCCGCTTAGGTGAGGGCGGCGGGGCCGCGAAGTGAGGGCGGCGGGGCCGCGACGTGAGGGCGGCGGGGCCGCGAAGGTGAGGGCGGCGGGGCCGCGTAGGCAAGGGCGGCGAGGCCGCGACGTGAGGGCGGCGGGGCCGCGACGTGAGGGCGGCGGGGCCGCGTAGGTGAGGGCGGCGGGGCCGCGTAGGCAAGGGCGGTGGGGCCGCGACGTGAGGGCGGCGGGGCCGCGACGTGAGGGCGGCGGGGCCGCGACGTGAGGGCGGCGGGGCCGCGACGTGAGGGCGGCGGGACCGCGTAGGCAAGGGCGACGGGGCCGCGACGTGAGGGCGGCGGGGCCGCGACGTGAGGGCGGCGGGGCCGCGACTTAAGGGCGGCGGGGCCGCGTAGGTGAGGGCGGCGGGGCCGCGACGTGAGGGCGGCTGGGCCGCGACGTAAGGGCGGCGGGCTCGCGTAGGTAAGGACGGCGCAACGGGCCGCTAGGGGCGACACGGAGGGTCGCTAAAAAAAAAAGGAAAGCGCGCCTCGGGGCGCGCTTCGGTGGGCCCTAGAAACAGTCCCTAGGAGGGGACCTGCTCTGATTCCATGTGAAAAGGAGAACGTGAATGGATGAACTATGAATGAAGTGAGTACATATAGGAAACCCTAATTGGGTTGTACCCCCTATGGGATACCCCACTATAGCCTACACAACAGCATAAGCTATATAATGTTCTGACATGTGTGTGTGTGTGTGTGCGTGCGTGCGTGCGTGTGTGTGTGTGTGTGTGTGTGGGTTTTGGAGGGGGTAGGCTCTGCTTTCATGCCTAACTTAAAGCCCAGCGCTATTGCTAACCAACCGGATTCCAAAACCCTCTCCAAGCACTGCATCTCCAGGGGAGGACCTTGCAGCAACACCAGCGGATGGCTTTTGATGCGCCTTAAAAGTCGTCTTTGAGTCGCCTCGAAAGCGCTATTGCTAACCAACTGGATTCCAAAACCCTTTCCAAGCACTGCATCTGTATGTAACCAGGGGAGGACCTTGCAGCAACACCAGCGGATGGCTTTTGATGCGCCTTAAAAGTCGTCTTTGAGTCGCCTCGAAAGCGCTATTGCTAACCAACTGGATTCCAAAACCCTTTCCAAGCACTGCATCTGTATGTAACCAGGGGAGGACCTTGCAGTAACACCAGCGGATGGCTTTTGATGCGCCTTAAAAGTCGTCTTTGAGTCGCCTCGAAAGCGCTATTGCTAACCAACTGGATTCCAAAACCCTTTCCAAGCACTGCATCTGTATGTAACCAGGGGAGGACCTTGCAGCAACACCAGCGGATGGCTTTTGATGCGCCTTAAAAGTCGTCTTTGAGTCGCCTCGAAAGCGCTATTGCTAACCAACTGGATTCCAAAACCCTTTCCAAGCACTGCATCTGTATGTAACCAGGGGAGGACCTTGCAGTAACACCAGCGGATGGCTTTTGATGCGCCTTAAAAGTCGTCTTTGAGTCGCCTCAAAAGCGCTATTGCTAACCAACTGGATCCAAAACCCTTTCCAAGCACTGCATCTCCAGGGGAGGACCTTGCAGCAACACCAGCGGATGGCCTTGCAGCAACACCAGCGGATGGCCTTGCAGCAACACCAGCGGATGGCCTTGCAGCAACACCAGCGGATGGCACCCTCCTGGCCAACTGCAGCATCTGTTGGCTGCCCTGGGGCAGGCGCCCCTCGCCCTGGCAGACGGGCAGATGAGCAGTTAGGCAAATAACCCCCTCCACCCTTCTCCACCACCCCAAACCCCCCTCTCTATGCACTGGATTTGTACCCCAAGGCGGACTTACCAGCAACTCCAGCAGACGACAGGGTGATGAGAGGCACTCTGCTGGCCAACCGCAGCATCTGCTGGCTGTGCCTGGGACAGGCGCCCCTCGCCCTGGCAGACGGACAGATGAGCAAAAAACTCCCTTTGTCCCTCCGTCCACCCCTCCACCACCCCCATGCCCCATCACCAGGCACTGGATTTGAGTCGACTCAAAAGAAAACTGGTTGACTTTTGAGTCGACTCAAAAGAAAACTCCCTTTGTCCCTCCCTCCACCCCTCCACCACCCCCATGCCCCATGACCAGGCACTGGATTTGAGTCGACTCAAAAGAAAACTCCCTTTGTCCCTCCCTCCACCCCTCTCCACCCCTCCACCACCCCCCATGCCCCATCACCAGGCACTGGATTTGTACCCCAAGGCGGACTTACCAGCAACCCCAGCGGACGACAGGGTGATGAGAGGCACTCTGCTGGCCAACTGCAGCATCATCTGCTGGCTGCGAGTGGGACAGGCGCCCCTCGCCCTGGCAGACAGACAGATGAGCAAAAAACTCCCTCCACCCATCTCCACCACCCCAAACCCCCCTCTCCAGGCACTGGATATGTACCCAGAGGCAGCAGAGCTCGCAGCAACACCAGCGGACGACAGGGTGATGAAGGGCACCCTCCTGGCCAACCGCAGCATCTGCTGGCTGCGATTGGGACAGGCGATTACATGCTAACACCCACCCAACCCCCTCCTTCCACTACCCTTTCACCTCCCATCCCCAGGCATTGGATCTGTACCCCAAGGCGGACCTGGCAGCAACGCCAGTGGACGACAGGGTGATGAAGGGCACCCTCCTGGCCAACCGCAGCATCTGCTGGCTGCGATTGGGACAGGCGCCCCTCGCCCTGGCAGACGGGCAGATGAGTCGATCTCTGCGGCCCGACTGGCCCAAGGCGTACTTCCGAGAAGGGACTGCCTTCAGAGCCATGGAGGTGAGTGCTGAGAGGGGAGGAGGAAGCAGGGAGTGGGGAGAGGGAAGGGAGGGGTAGGCAGACGGGCAAATGAGTCTGTCGCTGCGGCCCGACTGGCCCAAGGCGTACTTCCGAGAAGGGACTGCCTTCAGAGCCATGGAGGTGAGTGGGTCTGGAGCCATGGTGACTTTTGAGTCGACTCAAAAGTCTCTTCCGAGAAGGGACTGCCTTCAAAGCGATGGAGGTGAGTGGGTCTGGAGCCATGGGTGCAGTGCTCGGGAGCCATGGGTGCAGTGCTCGGGAGGAGAAGAGGGGGAGAAGGAGAGAGAAGAGGTAGAAGTAGAAGGGAGGTCTAGGACAGGCGCCCGGGGAGATGGGCAGATGGGCAGATGAGTAGGTCGCTGCGGCCCGACTGGCCCAAGGCCTACTTCTGAGAAGGGAGTGTGTTCAGAGTCATGGAGGTGGGGAGGGTATGAGAGGGGGTTTCACGTTGGGGAATGGGGAGAAGTTAGGGAGAGGGAGGGGGGGGGGGGGGGGGGGGGGAAGGGGCCAGTGGTCCAGGGGGCATTTGGGAGAGAGTGAACAGATTCAACCAGAAGGGTTCCCCTTTTTTTTTTCCGCACTGTATGGTGTTCTTAGTTTTACTGTTCGGTGTGCTGCAGCGTTACGAGGATGCAGCGAATGTGTTCTTCGAAGGGGTTCAAGTCGATCCGAATAACATGGATCTCACGGCAGCATTTCAGTAAGTGTTGAAGTTACATAAGCACTGCAGCGTCATCCTTTGGCTTGTATCCTAGTTTCTTACACATGTTCCCTTGGTCGGTCTGTTTTTGTTTTGCAGAGAAGCGATTGAAGCTGGGCGCAAAGCACATAAACAGAAGCAGGGGTCTAAGTCCAGCTCTTGACACTCTAGTTCTTGAAAGCATAGAACTGCGTACCATGGCTTTGTTTTCCCCGTTGTGTATGTTACTAACGGAAATGTTTATGAAGCAGAATATTGGCACACTTATGGTGATGTCTAAGTCTAAAATTGTAAGGGACATACAACTATGAGTTAATCTCCATGAGCTACACCCACCGAATCAAAACATAATATCTATCGGAAAGTCAAGGTAGTTGGGTGGCGATGCGGCATGCGAGAGAGAGACACGCCAGCTTCAAGCCACGTGCTCGTGCGAAGGCGGCGAATTGAGTGCGCCACTTTTCCTTTCCCAAAACCTGTGAATTTTTGTGGGCTGGCAGAGTGAACGAATCATCGTCGCCGTCTCGTCGCAACCAATCAGAGGGACGAATTCGCAGCATTTGACAAGACCAACCGATCTGGCAATGACCGAGCGACGGAACACGAACCCTGAAAGGCTCGCTAACCTTCGCCGCTGTGTTCTCGCATGGGGATTCCTCCACTGCCGCGCATGCTTTCCTTCGCAAAAGGCCGCTGCGAACCGCTTGACGAATCCAGCATTCTGGAATTCGCCGCCACGTCGCGCGAATGGAAGGGCGGGTGCACCATACATCCGTACCGCGCCCGCACTCCATGACCCATCTTTCGCACATCCACACGTCCCCATTCGCACACGCTTTCGCTTCGCCCCTCTCCCCACAAACATGTGCGTGCTTGCAAGATTCCACCATCTACACCGCGAAGCGCATGTATGCCATCCCCACGACCCATGTTCTACCAGCCCCATCCGAATTTGGGGCATGGCGTGGTGGGCTCCCGGGTTTGCCCCAGGTCCTGGCCCTTGCTCTTCTTCACCCCACTTATTCGCCCCTTTTTCCAGTCGGAATTCTTCCCACCACAACCACCAAAGTCATCCTTCAATCTTTCCGTGATCTCCTTCGCTTCCGAAACAGCTTGGAGCTGCGGCTTCGTAATGTGTGGAATGAGTCGGGAGTTCTAGTTGACAGATTTGCAGTAAAGTATAGAGATTCCGGAAAGCGGCGGCCAAGGAATGTCGTAGACGAATTAGTAACGCGTCGCTGCTCGCCGCTGGAGACTCCTCCTGCGGTCGCATGAGTTTTGAGACGTCTCAAAGCTCCTGTGTTCCCAGGAGCTCTCTTCTTGGCGCCGTATTCGGTGAACACAGCTTTCCACGAACTGAAACTGCCACAAAGTAAAAACGGTTAAGTCCCACCTTTGAAACGAGTATAAAGCGGCGAAAATGACGGTTTCGCTGCTAACGCATCAGCCACAGCAGTACCAACAGCAGCTATTTCAGCCTGCGCTCCAAATCCCTCCACGCGGCACTCAATCCGCGGAGTACGGCGCGTTCAACGGAGATGCATCCAGCGGACACTACAGCTCGTGCAATGGAGCTCCATTGGCGAACGATCCGTTAGCGAACACCTTCGAAAAGCCGGCCATCGATTACCCTCTTTCGCCATCCTGGGGCTTCGTCGCTTTGCCATCGCCTAAGACGGCCATTGATGACTCTTCATTCTACTCGGCTCTCGAAACACCTCAAACGCAACGGGTTCAACCGATTGAACAAACTCAGCCGAGTCAACATCTCTCCGCCACAGCTACGTCGACTATCAGTCAACAAGATTACACTCCACCACGCATGGAGATGCAATCAATTCAGCAGATTCAACCAGGCCAACCAAGTCAACCAGCTCCGAATCAAATGCGCCAGGATCACGAGCACTCCGCACCGTACGAGGAACCTTCCAGGCGAGTGCGTTCCTGTAGCGGTATTGGCGGCCATACCGGCGAGACTTGCGACGGTGGAGGCGGATATGGTGTGCAAAGCTCGACCAGTGGAAACCAGGGGTACTGGGTGCAACAGCAATCCCAGCCGCAACAGCTGCACCCCCAGCAGCAACAACTTCAATCCCAGCCGCAGCAGCAGCATCAGCAGCATCAGCAGCTGCAGCAACAACAGCTACAGCCGCAGCAGCAGCAGCAGCAGCAGCAGGAGTACGCGCCGCAGTTCCCTGGTCAACAGCAGTCATTGGGGTCTTCGTCTTCAGTCGTCACGTATTCAACTGGTTACTCGACTGGTTACTCGTCTGGTTACTCCATGGGTGGTAACTCCTCCGCTGGTTACTCGACTGGTTACTCGTCCGGCTCTGCTCCGTTATCATCGTCTCCCCAGCCTATTTCGAGTACTGTACCTTTCGATTTAAGCACCGGCAATGCGTCCCTCGGTACAAGCGCGAACACTGCTTATCCGAATCACAGCGCGTGTGCCACATCGGCAGCATTCTCCCCGCAGTCCACGTCACAGTTCCCGCATTCCACGTCAGCGTTCCCTTCGTCATCTACCGCTATGACTCACAGCAGCGGCGCCACTGCTGCTTTTGCGACTACGCCGTCGTTCCAGCCGCAACAACCGCCGCAGTACGCGCCGATTTATGAGCCGCAACCGCCGCCGCAGCAGTCACAGCCATGGCAGCAGCAGCAGCAGCAACAGCAGAACCGTTCTCAACCACTGCCAGCACCGCCGCATCAGCAACAACAGAATAAGCATTATCAGCAGCAGCAGCAGGTTCAGCCGCCTCAGCAGCAGCCACAGCAAAAGCTTCTGTCAATTCCTCAGATGAATAGCACCTGGCCGAATACGCCCTCCCCCAGCAGCAACTGGCCGAATACGCCCTCCCCCTGTACCACCTCGTGGCAGGGTGCATCCAGCACGGCTCAGACGAACAGCAACACGTGGCACGGCACAGCTGCGCCAGGGGGCCCGCCTCCCGGGACGGCGCAAATGACTAGTAGCGCCGGTGCCGCCCCGCCATTCAGCAGCGCTGGATACAGCGGCGGCATTTCCCCCTCGCCTAGCGGGGGTGGCTCGCCTCTGGCTGGCGGAGACCTTTCCCGCGCGCCTGCCAGCGGAGACTATTCCCCCGCGGCGGCCCACCAATCTTCCTGGAACGGTATGAGTTTTCCGCCGGCCGCGAATGACTATGGGGCGCAAAGAACGACCACCCCCGTAGGTTCTCCTACTCCCCCGTTTGCGCCACCTGCCGCGCCAGCTGCCGCGCCCTGCGCCGCGCACCCTGTTACGCCAACAGCTGCTGCTACCGCCGTGCCATTCGGCGCTGCAAGCGGCTCACCTGCCCCTCCTCCCCCTCCTCCTTCCGCTTCTCCTGCTCACCCTTCTGCCGCTGCTCCTGCTTTCGGCGGCGGCGGTGCTGCTGCTGCTCCTGCTGTACCGGCTTGGACCGTTCCCGCGTCAGCATCATCTCCAGCGCCGCCAACAGCAGCGCCGCCAGCAGCAGCGCCGCCAGCAGCACAAGCGTCAGCAGCAGCAGAAGAAGGAGCAACCGCACCAGCAGCGGCGTCAGCGGCGCCAGAAGCGGCGGCAGCGGCGGCGGCGGCGAAGGATCCGCCGTGCGCGGCGTGCAAGTCGCTGCGGCGCAAGTGCACGCGCGAGTGCCTGCTGCTGCCGTACTTCCCGCGCAACCAGCCGGAGAAGTTTCACGTGGTGCACAAGGTGTTCGGCGCGAGCAATGTATCCAAAATGCTACAGGTGAGTCCCTTGTGCGGGGGAACATGAAGAAACCGGGAAAGGGAATAAATGTCATAAAGTGTTCCACGTGGAAGTTCCACGTGGTGCACAAGGTGTTCGGTGCCAGCAACGTGTCGAAGATGCTGCAAGTGAGTCCCTTGTTAGGGGGGGGAAATACAGGGGAACCGTGAAATGGGTATTTGAAGGGGAAGCTCCTCGTGGCGTGGCGCACCAAGTGTTCGGCGCCAGTAACGTCACGAAAGGTGAAACGCCCTTGCGGTGACGCTTCGAGGAGTACTTTGCGTGGGGCCCTATCGTGAGTTTCACAGAGGGGAGAGGGGAAATGCAAGCGGCAGGAGAAGATTTTCGTGGTGCTGCGGTTGAGGCTCTGCGAGGATAGTGTTTCCTCTCGTGAGGTGATATAGCGGGAAGTACGGATGCTGCCGCAGAAAGTTGCAAGGTGACGATGCTGCAGGTGAGGTGGGCGGTGCGGCTGTTGCAAGTGTTGGTAAAGGTTGGGAGTAACGAACGCCCAATCATATTTCGCCGATTTCGTCGCCAACAACGAACTCCAAGATGTTACAGGTAAGCCCCCCTCGAGTTGTGCAGCATGCTGTCCTCGTGGGTGTCGGGAAAGGAGGGCGTGACTGGGTGAGATGCGATGTGCGAAGATCCTCGCTACTCAGAAAGGTGAACGATGTTACAGGTGAGCATTGAAGGTGAGATATACTGAAAGGTCATAAGTCATCAGAGTCTACACGTGAGTCACATTGAGGTGTTACTGAGATTGACTTGCGCTTGAACATTTAGTTTGTATTACTACAGAAATATATAGTAACCTAGCAGGTGAGCCCTACATTATTACAGGTTAGCCTGGGCCTTACAACATAGCACTTGAGCCTTATCACGAAGTGACGGGCGAGCCTGATGGAATCGCAAGTAATCCTTGTTATGTAACATGGACAACATTTTTAAATAAATAGGGCTGCACTTCAATTTAGAAAGGCTCATCCCACACTCCTGCCTCTCTCTATCATCCTGCCGCTCCTGCCCCTTCCATTCTCTGCCCCTCCCTCCCTCTTTACAGGACATCCCGGTGGCCCAGAGGGAGGATGCAGCGGCCAGTCTCGAGTACGAGGCACAGGCGACGCTTAAAGAGACCCGTTCAATCGTGAAAAAGCCCTGATATCCCTCAGCTTCTCCCACTCACCTGCCTCTCCTCCTGTCTCCTGTGTCTTCCTCCCCTCCCTCCCTCCCTCTTACAGGACATCCCGGTGGCCCAGAGGGAGGATGCA